TGTTTGATCACCACATTTGAGTGATCATTGCAAAAAATGTGTTTATGTATATATATTCGGTTTATGTATATACTGTATTCTATATACAGTACCAGTCAAAAGTGTGGACCCTAGAAAGCGGCTGTCACAGCATGTGAGTGCTAAACTAAGTTTTCATTCACACACAAGTTTACGTTAAAAACACACATGAGTTACAAAAACAGTCGGTTATGTCTGTGAAGGTAAACAGCTGGGAAATAAATCGCATGTTTATTTTAGATCTGTTTGGCAGCAGCAATATACATTAAATAAATCAATAAATCCACTGCTCTCTTGTCTCCTCTGAGGCTGGGACTCTAAATAGTGTTTTGTGTAGTGACTCTAAACAGTTAGCATGTTTTGCTCAAACATTCGCCATGGCATTACACCGTTGTCGCTTGCAAAATCAAAGTGACCAGCACCGTGGGTGTAAAATTACAGATTAAGGGACGGTAATATTATAATGAGATCCCTTTGCAACGTCACTAGGGGAGCGAAATCAGATGCGCTCGTTTTTTCAGACGCTTGCAGAAAAAGGCTTACCAAAGCAAAGTGACTGGGTTAATCTTTTTCACGTTTCCTTGGTTGGTAGATGCACCGGGGACCTGATTATAGCACTTAAAACCTGGAAAAGTCAGATTTTCATGATATGTCACCTTTAAGAACCATGGGTTCCCAAACTTTTGAAGGGGGTTATTTAAAAAATTTCAGTTTATAATTTCAAATTTCAGACTATATGTAAACATCTTTTATGTAAAATATCTTACTCAGGACAGTAATAAATAAAAAAATAACATGCATTTTGTATGATCTCTCTTATTTTGTTAAAATTATTCACATTTTCACAGATTCTGCAAGGGGTTTCCAAACTTTCGCATGCCACTGTAGCACTGCACCCTAGTGGGCCCCAGCTCTAGTAGGTCTGAAACCCTTTGTATGCAATGCAAATATATGCAATATTTTTGATAAAATATTGCCTATACTGTATATTATGTATTGTAAATATTTTATTTATTTTTAACTGTATTACAACTATTTGTACAATTCATTTTATATACAGTAGAAGTGCTTCAAGTAAGACATTTAAACTTTTTCAGTAAAGAATTGCTTCATTAAGACGCAAATTGTTACTCAAGAGTTGTACTTTAAGCATAATTTCTGTTATCATGCTGTAGGTAACCAGGCTGGTCGGCCTGCAGAGAACTTGGAATCGTCAGGACAGGAGGAACAGAGAAACTCAGGAAAATCCAGCAAGGACCGAAAAACTGGGCATGAGGAGTCATCCCCCTCTGCCACTGCCACTCAGGGAGCATCAGCCAATGAGAGGACTCACCCCGCAGGGGAACGGCCCACTGACAGCACAGATTTAAATGACAAGTGTAATGTGACAGCGGAGGGGGAGGGCAGCTCAGGTGTGACGTGTACCTCAGGTGAGACAGACATCCCAAACGCTGACGCTGCTGCCAACGACCTGGATTTTGACCTTTCCAGCGACAGCGAAAGCGAGGGTAAAACGGGATTATCTGACAGCGATGGCGAAGCCAAACAAAGCCAAACAAAAACAGAGGAGTGTAAAAGCAAAGAGGATGGTGGGGAAGAGGACAAACAGAGGACAGAGGGGGACGGTGTCCCAGAAACAGATCCCGAGGATCTCGGTGATTTGGGCAACGGCTGTTCCGACAAGAAAGAAGTGGAAACGGAGTCTCAAAACAGCGAGCAGTCATGCGTCACCATGGGTGAGGAGTCTTTAGATCACAGTATGGAGGATGAGGACGATGAGGAAGACATTGACCAGGACGACCACCTGATTTACTTGGAGGAGGTTTTGGTTCGCATCCACAGTGAGTATTACTCATGCTACGAGGCCTTCCTCAGGAAAGAGAGTTCAGAGAGTCCGGACATACGGAAGATCATTCCTGAACTGAAGGGCTGCGCGCTGGCGGGCACCACCATCATCTTCAGCGGCCTGTATCCCACCAACTACCCAATGGAGCGCACGAGGGAGTGGTACCACACCAAGGCGCTGGGTGCCAAGCTTGGCAAGACCCTGGTGCTCAATGCCAAAGACCCAAACCGCACCACTCACCTTATTGCTGCACGCGCAGGTGAGTCTTGCATGCTTCAAACACCAGTTATGAAGGGATGTTTGCAAAAGTGACTAGTCATTGGGTTTTTTGAATAACTAGTTGGTCTTAAAGGGTTAGTTCACCCCAAAATGAAAATTCTGTCATTAATTACTCACCCTCATGTCGTTCCAAACCCATAAGACTTTCGTTCATCTTCAGAACACAAATTAAGATATTTTTTTATTAAATCTGAGAGCTCTCTGACCCGCCATAGACAGCAAGGATAATATCACGATCAATGCACAGAAACGTATCAAGGAGATCTGTAAAATAGTCCATGTGACATCAGGGGTTCAACCGTAATTTTACGAAGCTATGAGAACACTTTTTGTGCGCAAAGAAAACAAAAATAACGACTTTATTCAACAATTCTTCTCCCTGAGTTACTGTCTTCCACCATTTTGGAGAGTATCCCAGAACGTAATCAGCACTGTTTAAGCGCGCGCATGCTGAATGTAAACAACGCTGATTACGTTAATTTGTGTTCCGAAGATGAAAACGAAGGTCTTACGGGTTTGGAACGACATGAGGGTGAGTAATTAATGACAGAATTTTCATTTTTGGGTGAACTAACCCTTTAAGGACATCCTGTGGGGCTGCACGTTTAATCAAAACAAAACCAAAATTGTGATTTTGGCTTAGTGTGATTACTGAATCACGAAAGCTGTGATTTAATTAAATAAATATGCGCTGCGTGTTTTAGAGTGAAGTGCAGTGCTTTGTTCATTTACACATGAGCAGCTCATGAGCCATGTTTTCAGGTTCTCAGAGCAACTCGCTCCATGCCAGCAGTTTCGCTCCATGCCAACTTCATCTCTGCATCTGCTTTGAGTTTTGGGTCGCTTTAACGCGCATTTTGTAAGAAAAGTGAGAAGCGCTTTTAAGCTGCCTGTTGTGAACAAAAGAGAAGCTTTCCACCATAATAAAAGCTCTATAGTTTAACATTTAAAGATCAACAGCTATAAACAATGGCGGCTGGTGAAAAATTTTCTAGGTAGGGCAAAACATTCAAAAAATTTTAGCATACATGCTTTATCCCATTATAACAAAAGAAGTAGTATGACTTGAAACATTTTAAACAAAGATAATTGTTTGTTTGCACACTAATAATAACGGACTTGCGTGTGTCTAATAATGTACGACTCCTGCATGTCACTGTAATCGTCTTTACCTCCATTACACCCGTCATCCATCAAAACTTTACTGCTTTGCTTTATTTAGCCCATACAGACTAGTCCTGACTTCATATTTCTTATTAGTAGAGGTATGTTTGTTCCCACCAATTGCTGCACAAGGTTAAGGTTACGTATGATGACGAAATCACGTTAGAGCTAGCCCTCCCGGAACTCATAGTGATTACATTGCAGTGCCTGCAGTTCAGGAAAAAAAATCTTTGTTTTGAAGTCTATGAGAACACTGGGGACGATTCTCGATATATCCAGAGGCAGAACAAACAGTCTAGAACGGTGACAGCTGTAGTTGAATGTGACAAAAAAAAATCCCTCCCTTTTGCACTTTGGCGGTGAAGAAACTGCCCCTGGCCATACATATTACTATTGTAATTTTACAGTTGTTCTGTAAAATAAAATGATTATCTTTTTTTTTTTTTACAATCAAATTTGAGCAATATTTCTTATTGTAATATTTGTATTTATTATTATTAATAACAATAATAACAATAATATAATAGTTAATAATATTAACCTTTTTAGTTGTTTTTTTAGTCATATTTAGTTAAATTTTGCAGACCTTCAAACAGGCACTGCACTGTAATTTAAAAATTTTACTGTAAAGAAAATCTTATTTTTTAAACACTTTTTAAAAAGATTTCAGTGAAATTTTCTAATAGTAATTTATTTTTGTTAATATTTTATGTAATAATACTAGTAAATATTCATAATAACATTCTTATATTATTATTATTATTATTATTATTATTTTCTACTCATATATATAACTTTTTTGGCTAAATTGTGCAGCCCTTCAAACTGGAACAGCATTGTTTTGTTTTTTAATCGCAATGACAATTTTTATCAGAAAAATCACAATTCCCCCTAGATTTTCAGCTCTAACGTCCTGGATAATTAAGCTGATTTGGGTTAAATCCACTACACATCAATCAGACGTATTTCTTATTGATATAAGGATGTTTAATTGCAGTTATTATATAAAGGGTATTCAAAAATATTTTGCACCAAATTACCACAGTCCTCAAAAAAAGTTTCTTGACAGGTTTGTCTGCTGGTGTGTTAAATGCGATGCTGATGTCACTCATATCTGGTTTAAGCTGTTATATTTAAATGGCACTAATCCGTTTGTTAATGTGATGAGCAGATCTCATAGAGGTGTTGATTAGTAATTTTTTATGCCATATATGACTCCGCTGATTGGTGCATTATGTATCATGAGTAGAGGAGATGAACTTTGTCTCAACTCTCTGCTAATCAGAGAGGTCAACACAAATGATGGCCATAGTAAAATGATTAGCGCTTCAAACTATGTGGAAACACATCACACATTTGTTTTGTGTCACTTCAGGGCAGGTTTGTTTCTCTCGAATTACTCGTTATCTATGAGAGCGACGTTGTTAGTTCTCACCTGTTTGTAGCAAGACAGGATTTGGATTACACTGTTTCCTGTACGGTCCAGGTGTGACACAGCACCTGTCAGAGATGTCTCTGGTACTATGATGTCCTCTTTTGTGCAGCTTGACTGACTGTAGACACTCCAGACAAAACATTTCCAACAGAAGCACAAGGGCTTTGCTTTAAATGCACAGCACAATTTTAATTATGTGTGTCAGTGAGGTTGTCAGAATGTGACATTTACTGCTGATTATGACAGCCAGAGTTTGCACTACAATGTGAATCAATGACATGATAAATAAAAAATTTTATTCACATCTATTAATTCATTAAAAAATACATTAAAAAATGCAATTCATACTTATGGTGACTTAAATACATTGTTACATGTTTTTTTTAATTATTATTTTTAATTAATATTATATATTTTATTTATTTGTTTTTTATTTATTTAACATTTTTGGGGGAATTAAAGTAAAAAGTCTTGGAAAAAAACTTGATATTTTATAATTATTTCATAAGAAATAAGTGACAGAGTTTTAAATGATTATAATTTGAAAAAGATCAAACAAACAAAAACACAATTAAAGAAAAAAGTTTGTCTGCCAAATGAAAGTCTTTTGTTGCAACCAACATTTAGTAAAACTAAATAAAATTATAAATTATATCAAAGAGAAATAAGGTGTCAAGGTCATTAAATTTACTAAAATATCAGATCATTTGACTTTTTTATGACGAGGCAAATTTAGTTTAATTTGTTAAATGTATTATGGAGCGACTCCCCAAAATGTTTTTTATTTTATAGTGTTATTTAATATATATATATATGTATATATGTATGTGTGTGTGTGTATATATGTATGTGCGTGTG